TAAACCTGGACTGCAAATTAGTTATAAATGTGGCATGAAATGTACTCAGTCTCTTTAAGATAAACAGGCAAATGCTGATTTGTTTTTAGCATCAACTTGCATTACTACCCTACCCACATTATATTTCACCTCTTACCTTTTAGCTGGAAAACAGTGTTCGCTCGCTGATACCAAACTTTGACATATTTACTAAACGGTATTGGAAGTTTTATTCCATTAAATCTGTATGAGTAGAGTATAAGATGAACTTGAGGTGCTTGTACGTTGCTGCTTTTTTGAGATGATATTTATGTGCCGTGGCCTATAGCTGCACTGTGTACTGTCCGCTACCTAAAGATCTCTGGCAGCATGGTGTGGAGCTTCTCGTCTGGTGTGCGGTAGCCTTTAGCCAGCTGCAGTAGTGTTTCTGTGCTTGAGTTGGGCTTTACACTGCCCCCTGCTGGGGTTTAGAGCTGAAATGTCACTGTTCTTCAGGACGACAGCATATAACTAATTGGCTTTCACTATTTAATTTCTTTAGAAGCTTTTAAGTGTTTGGAAAATTCTGACTAATCAAAAATGTGGAGTATCTTAGGGGCCCTGAGAACCACTGACTTATGGAACCAAAAGTGGTTCTTCCATGAAATTGCTCCAAAGCAACCTTTTAGCACCTTTATTTTAAAGACTGCATGTACAGACAAGGTAAACACCTTGTGAATCTTGAAAAGCTGGTGAACTTATCCTTTAATTTGACGTTGTCCTATAGGTACTCACTGTAACCCATTCTGATGGGAGCTGCATTCTTGACTATCCATGATGCTGTAGATCAGGGGTGACTAACGTCTGGTCTTGGAAGGTCAGAGTCCAGCACGTGTCCAGCACATTTTGATGATGTCTGTGCTTTAACACTTCCACTAAACCTGCTAATGAACTGACACGTCGAATCAGTAGTGTTTGAGCAGAGGAATCAGCAAACTGCTCCACTCTGTCCCTCCAAGAGCAGAATTGGGCCCCTGCTGTAGGTGGGTCCCATCATGCTGCTCTATTGAATCAGTATGCTGTTCCACATGGAGCTAAAGAGGAAAAAAAAAGAAACACACCAGGGTATTGTGTGTGCGTGCGTGGGTGTTTTTTTAAACATTGTTTAAATATCACTGACTCTATATATGTTTGACTGAAATGAATATTTCCATGTAGCCTATCGCTAATCTACGGTTGCAATTCTTCACACAGTAATGCCACATTGCTGCCAAAAAGACTTTCAAAGATACCTGAAAACATTAAAAAAAGAGCTGATTGTTAAAGGATTTGCAGTTCCCCTGGTCTGCTGCAGATATTTGTTTTTTCTTTTCTATGCCGGAGTTAATAGGGGTGAGTTATAAGTACGCCGGTCATGTGGAGGCTGTCAGGTGTGCTGAGGTGCCACCCACAGCCATTCAGGGACACTGCTGAAACGAGAGAGGAGAGGAGAAAAGGGCATCATCGTCTCTTTCAGTGATTAAAACTCAGAACAAAACTGGACTGTGGGCTCCTTCTGTGTCTTGTGTTGCTTCACTCTTTTGCACTCTTACATTTGCCACTTTAAGACACATTTGAGAGCTTGAACCATTTTGTTTATTGTGGGTTTTTTGTGAAATAATTTCTTATTTTAATAAGTAATTTACTCTGTTTTTTTCTCTAGCTCAGAGAAATTTTGATGGTTTAAGATTCCATTGTTTACCTGAAGTAATCAGTCAACTGCACTTTTAAAATATATTCCTTCTGATCATTCTGATTATTGGTCATTGCAGCAGGAGCTCTGGATACCAAACCCCAAATTTAGTGGCTGGATCACAACTCTCTCTCTCTACATTTGCTAGCTACACCTTTTAAAGCATTTGCTTAAAAGGAGGAAAGTATGAGGACAACATTAGTGAAGTTTTTTGTCCCTGGTCATATTACAGTGCAGTTCCACCGATTTTTTTAAAACGTCTGCATAATTAAATGTTTAAGGTGTAAATAAAGTCATTCAGAATGTTTTGAAATGAAATGCTCTGTTCTAGAGAATCTTACTGACTCAGAGTTGTTCACAGTGGCGGTGATGGGACCCAGACATCCGAAGAGTTTAATGCCTTTAAAAGCTCCATTGCAGAAAGCTAGTGCATGAAATGGTTCCAAATACATTACCTTATGCCTGAGACATTGTTTTACGATATTTTTCAGATGATATTTGGCCCTTAAATGTTTTATTTTTTCATTATCCATGGTGGAGAAGTACATGCAGGGTGTTTAAAAGCAAAATAGAAGAAAATGAAAACTTTCCTGTTTAAGCACAACTAATCATATAATTTAAAGGAAAACATTCTTGTTTTCCCATAATATTGTGACATAAATGGACCTTTTCCCACCTCTAAAACATCATGGCTTTTGAACACGTCACCATGCACCAGTGGGCGAGGAAAAATAAAAAAAATAATATGTATCACCAATCCCACCTACCATTGAGCCAAACTCCTCAGCTAGTTCAGAGACCCAGAGTCCAAATATGAATGATTTTTTTTCTTTCTCGACTGTTTTCTTTCATTTTACCTGATCTGGTTGCTATATGGACCCAAATGATGGTGACCCCTGACTACAAATGCAGCAAAATCAAGGAAGGCAGCCCCAAAAGCTAACATCACATTTCACTCGGGAATACTGTACATCACAGTGCGGAAGTGAAATGCATTCTAATTTTTGATTCACTTTGACTTAAAAATTTCTTAATACTTAAATCATTAATGTGTAAGCAGCCAGTATTGTTTACAGTGGTGGTGATAGGAACCAGACACCTGAAGTATTTAAATCCTTGAAAAGCTACATCACAAAGTAATTACACAAGATGGTTATGAATACACTGCCTGATGGCAGAGACACTGAGACATTTACAGTGGTTTTGAGATGAGATTTTTTTTTTAATACTGTATGTTCATGGTGGAGGGGTACAGCCCAGCAAAAACGCACGTGGCTGCCAATAGTGGGGCCCCAGTCATTTGTGGAAGCTAACCCCAAGCACTGATAGGAGGGCTTAATTTGGGCCACTAGCATGAGCCCCTGGTTTCACGACGAATTGGGGCCCCTTGCAGGCAGTCTATTTTAAGACCTCATTTTAGGGCCTTTTGTAGGCCACCGGTAACGGGCCCTAACATGGGGTCCCGCACATGGCTCTGCAGGATTTTTTTAGATTTAACAGTTTTACATCAACATTACACATAAAAACTAAATGGCTATATTAGTGTTGTAGACATTGTGACCCCTGGTTTCTATCACCACCACTGTAAATAAATCTGAGTATGTAAGTTTCTCTACAGTGAATCATTTCACATCAAAGCATCTGAATGCTTACTTCTCAACCACTGAATTATATAGACACTGGAATTCCTTTAAAAAACACTGGTCTAGTGCTAGTACATGATTCTCAATATTTTTGTGCAAATACTTTATTATAACTTTGTCTAATGACAGCTTGGGCCATCCACCACAATATGGACCTACATCCAGTTTTTTTTTTGTTTTGTTTTTTTACTTTCAGTTCAGTCTGGATAAAAAGGGCAAAAAAAAATGAAATTTAATAAAGTTCACCCTTAGGCTAAGAATTTTCTCATTTAACTGACTTGGTAATTGAAGTAATTGCGTCATGGAGCTTTTAAAATTGAATGTAATGACCATAACCATCACCATCAGGGGCTGGAACATACATTTCGATACGTAGCCAGCAGCAGTAAGCCTGGCTGATTGTCATGTCTATAACACTTCTATGTCCCTGACTAATTCTGTGCAGTTCATGTGTTTGTCCACATGGGGGCGCTTTCTTACCATCCCATGCCCAGTCTGCACCATGGAAAGCATTTTGACAGCTGTTCAGGATGCAGTATAGCATATGAGGAAAGATGCAATTGCAGTGCAGTTTAATGAACCAAGTTTTACTTCCAAGTAAAAGCATTGAACAAACATTAACATAAATGATGTAGAACACTCTACCAGCTTCAGTATTCAATACATCAATGCATCAGTGTATCAGTTTACAGTGGCATACAAAAGCAACGTGGTTCCTGGAAGGTAAAAGCTTTGGGAGGGCTACACAGAAAGCTTCTTGCAAGAGCACGCTGTAACAAATAGTGAGGAGAGTAAAAGATGTTGTTCCTCTTGGCACAAAGCTGTTTCACATAGCCTAACAAAAGGGCATTGTTTTGGACACAGACTCTGCCAGACAGGTTGAGCAGATCACTTGAGGTTCACATGGTATTCACAGCGAGAAGTTTCACTGAACATGAGAAAACACAGGAATCTCCAACACAGAAAGCAAAAGATGTGGTTGAATAGTAGAACAGCACTGTGTGCCAAGTTGTGCTCTGCTTTACTGAATAAGACCCTGGTTACAGTGGTCTGCACTTTTAATCAACTCTTAAAAATAAAGCTGCCGAAGAAAGGTTCTTTGGAGCAATACCCTAGAACAGTGGTGACCAGTCTTATCTGCAAAGGACTGGTGTGACTGTAGCTCTTCATTCCAGCAAAGCAGGAGTGATCAGGTGTGCCTGTTTGGGGTGAAAACATGCAGCAAAGACTGGACACCCCTGTCTAGAAGAACTACTTTTGGCTCCACAAATCTCTTTAAAGAACCATTTTTGTAAATGAGATGTGTGAGTGTAAAAAAAGGACCTCCACAGAATTAACCCTCTATTGTAAAACGTTGCCTCAGGGCAACAAACCCATTTTCCTCACTTTACAATAACATTATTCATATTTAAAGACAATGACAGGGTTAACAATTAAGGGGACAGTTTGAGTATGTCAACAAAAAGCATGTTCCTGGTCATACTATCTCTTAGTGGGCACTTTTAAACCTCTTTTTTAACATTCAGTATCATTTTTCTTTTGTTATGAGAATTTGCAGAAATATGTTTGTTGCCTAGAAGCAACAATTGTGCAACAGTGGAATGGATTTGACCACAAGTCACAAGCCAGGTCTCACCACTTCAGGGAACACGGCTCTATATCATTTCTTCTCATTGTCGCACAATGTTGCCTCAGGGCAACATACCCCAAAATGACCTCTGCACACATTATTTTTCAAAAAATGTTTTAATATTTAATAATCAGGTCCATTTTATGCCAGAAAAGTGAATCTAATATATATATTTTTAATTGCTCTCATAACATATGCAGTAGAGTGCTAAAACCTGCGATGGTGAAAACAATGGCTGTAATATCTACATTTGGTTTCTATTAATAAATATGATGGACAGCATCATGTTATTACAGCCTAATGCTATAAATATGTACAACTGGCAGTGCTTTTGCCGACTGAACCAGAGTTTCAGAGTCTTTACCTCAAGCAACAGTCATCAGGTGTCATTTGAACACATGTGATACAGCACTGAGGGGAACATACTTTAGACAGTGCAAAAGGCTTGCATGTATGACAAGCCGAGTTAGCTTTTACTTTGTTTCTTAACAGCATCAATCAAATTATAGAAGTGTTATTAATACCAGTAAACAAACTAAATTTAACATGCAAAATACTGAAAATACTCAATACTGAAGGTCAACATTTAAATTGTACTAATGGGAATTATATATGAGCATGTAAGAATTCCGTTCTGATTAGGAAAAATTCCTGGCCTTTTCTTAATCAAAGGAGCCATTTTTGTTTTTACAAGTAAAAATTACTTTATGCCTGACTGACTTTCTAATTATTAGATGTTCAAACTAAATTCTCACTAGAATTGTAAGAATTAAATTTTTACACGTAAGAACTCGATTTTCTCATTTAATAATTCATTTTTAACTAGAAAGATTTTCACTTGAGCATGTAATTATTAGAACTGCATCATCAAAATGTTATTGACATTGAGAAAAACAGGGCGGAGCTTGCCTTTTCAGTGAGTGGGTGCAATGATACATAAAATAGTAAATATAAGCAAAGTGATATTACAGTAAAAATTAAATAAAATTGTTTCTACATGTGTAAAAAGCGTATATTTACTCTGTGGAATACTTTGACAGTCAGTAACGTCCTGCAAAAGTGCATTTATCTGAATTTTTGCTAGGAGCAACAGGTTGTGTTTCTCCTGGCCCCTTTATTGAATTTTGGTCACTAATATTTGGTCAGGGTCCAATCACTGCAAATCTGCAACACTTTTGTCTGTGTGTATCAAGTTAAATGTTAGCTAGCTATGCTTAATAGCAAGCTATAGTTTATTTATCAGGATATGATTATGTGTCAGTCATAAAACATAAAACAATATTTTCCAAAATTTTTCAAATAATATTACTTTATTCTAAATGGCTGCATAGCTAGTCATGGGTTTGCAGCACCCATTGAAGCTTTGCTATATGGGAAAATATGCACAAGTTCTTAGTGAGTGAATTCATACATGCTAAAACAATTCCTATCAGTAGAGGTTCAATTTTGACGCGTCAGATTTCATTTACTTGTTTTCATACCATTTTCACTTATATCAAGAAATTGTAGATTAAAAGCAGCAACAGCTTCCCATAAGCAGCTTTTCACTCTATTTAAATAGAGCATCTTCACACACTTGCACGTCCAACAAGGGGAAAAGGCACACTGAACGACAAGCAAACCTTGCAAAGATAAATGTTATCACACCAATAACCTGCTATTCATTATTAACAGGGACCAACTTTCAGCACAGCAGGCATGGATTGTGAGGATGAGAGGAGTGAATGAAGCTGCAATCAGAAGGAACATGAGAACCCAGGAGGGTGCATGTTCTAGCCCTTCACAATTTGACATCTCCGTGAGGACTGAAGAGAGCTGCTGGAGAGACTCCTCCATACTCTGGTGCTCCGTCCTCTCATGGCTGCCCTCGAAAGGTATGTCACCATGCAAGTGTGTGTGTGTGTGTGTGTGTGTGTGTGTGTGTGTGTGTGTGTGTTCACATCACGAGGAAGGACACATCAGGGTCGAAATCTTTATCTTAGGAATTGTGGGAGGAGGTCTCTTCCCACAACATGTATCTCCTTCTTTCTCACTTTTGTTTTATATACAAGAATATGGCATAAGATGCTCTCTAACTGTAATTCTATTTACATCTCTGAAAGTCACTCATGGTGTCCATCATAAATGACCATTGCTGTGCTCATTCTTGTATTTTTTTAAATAAATTTCTTTCTGAAAAACATCCAGTTTTGTAAATAACCAAGAATGCTAAGGCCCGCTTAAAGAAGTTAATACACACAACAAGAACTAGACAATGTCATCTTCGAATACACGAGTCTATACAATCTAGCAGCAGTTTGGTTAGTGTTAAGCCAGCAGTTATGCCATCAAACACTCTAGGCAGGCTACATAAGGATAAGGGAGGAATAGTTCACTTGAACCAGGTCTAAGCAAATACCGTTCACTATTCTACATCACATTACGTGTGTAAATGAATCATTTCTTGAACCAGAAAGTGTAAAATACAAAACTGTACATTCTGTCTAAGTCACATAAATGTAGGCATTCAGTCCCATTCTGTAGACAATAAACATTCATAAGTGGTGCCACGCTTGGGGGCACCTTCATTTTTCAGAGGCGGCACTTAAAATAATAACAATTTGAGAGTTCTCAATCAGAAGAGTGGTAGTTCCTTCAGTCTTTCCCCTTGAGAGAAAAACAAATCCATCCATCAAAATGGATAGATGAGCTCTGCAAAGTTAATAGTCTTGGATTTGTGAGCGTTCTCCATACATGGGTCTCCTAGAGATCTGTTTTCCAGGAGCACTTTCTCAGCTACATGCAAACCTTGACTCCTTATGTAGTAGGGATTCTGTTCTGTTGTCAGCATGACCCTCATGGTCATTGTGATCTGGTACTTTTAGGTATGCAGGGCCATCAGAATTAAACTTTGTTTTAATATCTTAAAATATTTCAGGTGAGTTTTCCTCATTTTTGAAAAGGTTCAAGATGACCTAGCACTGCAAAAGGTTAAGTCATGTGGTTTGCATTTTTTAAATTGGAGAAACTGACCAACACGCTTACTGTGAATGCCTGTTGAGCACTCACCATCTGTTGGATTTATCTTTCCCCATGCTCAGTTTCTCTCTGAACTTCCTTGTCCATCTGTTTCTTGCACAAGTAAGTGCAGTATTCGTATGTGCACCTACAGGTTTAGGAGTGATTGGCTCCTCTCTCTCAGATGCTGGTCTGCAGGTCTCCATTCAGCAGCGTGCTCTGAGTCTCAGTGGGATCGTTCATCATCCGCGACTTGTCCTGCCTGCTGTCACTGCGCTCGATCTCATCCAGGCCACCTACCTTTTTGAGGCACAGAACGTTCTGGAAGCTCTTCTTGAAGTTCTCCGACAAGAAGGCATACAGGATGGGGTTGGCACAGCTGTTGGCGTATCCCAGGACCACCACAAAGGCGAAGGTGCTCCTCAAAATGGGCGTCGTGCTGATGGTGCCCGTCACCGATGTCACGTTGAAGACGTAAAACGGCAGCCAACAGAAGACGAACACGGCTACCACAATGGAGACCATGCGTGTCACCTTCCTCTCGGAGCGCTTCCTCTTCGAGGAGCCCACTCGTATCCCAGAAGATTTCACTTTGATGATGATGAGCAGGTAGCACAGGCAAATGACCATCAAGGGCAAGAAGAAGCCCAGAAAGAAGGTGTAGAACATGAAGGCTGTGTAGTAGGCCTCCTCCGGCTCAGGCCACACAATGGTACAAAAGCAACCGCCTGGCTTGGTAATCAAGCCACTGTAGATGACGATGGGCATGTTGACCAGCAGGGAGACTACCCACACTGCCAAGTTGATGGTCTTGGCCACCCGGGGTTTCCTCCATTTAGTAGACTTGATGGGATGCACCACAGCTAAGTAGCGGTCGATGCTCATCACCATCAGACAGAAGATGCTGGTGAACTGATTAAGAGAGTCAACGGTCATGACCACACGGCACAGCGCTGCACCAAAGGGCCAGTGGACCAGGGCTAGCTGGATGGCGATAAAGGGGAGGCTCAACATGAAAAGCACATCAGCCACAGCCAGGTTGAGGATGTAGATATTGGTCACCGTCTTCATCTTAGCATAACGCAAGATGACGTAGATGACCAGAGCATTGCCACTAAGCCCTACAGCGCAAACCACAAAGTAAATGAAGGTGATGACCACTGTGCTGGTCCTGGTGAAACTGTGGTCAGTCGCATTCCTAAGGCCCTCGTCCGAGTCATTGCCCACAATGAAGCTGTCATACATGAGGGGCTCGGACAGGTTGGGGGGCGAGGATGGAAATATCCAAGGATCCATGGTGCCGCTCTCTCAGATTTCTGACATTCTTGAATATGTCATGTCACCTGAATGGAAAAGAAAGGTCAGGGTGAGTGAACCATGTATAGAACCGGAACCACATACATCCAGTCCTGCCTGTCCTTGTCTATTACCAAACAAATATCATCCCACTGTTGACCATATGAACCACATTGACTCTGGTGCCTTGTGAAAGTGCATAGTGCCCTAGATATGGATTGATATGAGCTGACATTCATCTATCATTGCCTGCTTGCTGTTGATTGATGTTATTTTTGATTAAGCTGAGTAGAGTTTTTACCATTCTTCCCATGTTGGAAGGAAAATTAAATAACCTTCATAGCAGATAGTCAAGGTGTTGGTATATTAACTGTTCTCTTATGTAACCTGTTTTTCAGGGATTGCTCAGAGTTATAGAATATAATATGATATAAAATGATCTTCTGAGTAGAGTAAAATAAAACAATCATATACACTCTCAGGAATAAAGGTGTGAAACTGTCACTGGGGCAGTATCCCTCGTCATTGGGGTGGTACCTTTAAGGGTACATCTCAGTACCTTTAGTCAGGGAACATAATTGTACTATAATCCATTAAAATTATATTTTCTAAGTTGTATTGACTCCACACACCCCGTCTCGTCTCCAGGCTTTTTTAATTTGTTGCTCTGTTTTAAAACATTAGGTTATGAAAGGGTACAAATATGTACTTTTCACCTGGAAAAACTTATTTAGGATACACAGTTGGACCTTAAAACCACTGTTGTACCTTTGAGGGAACATTAACATTGTTTGTACCTTGGTGATCGAAAAATGTACCTGCACAGAACCTTTATTTCTAACAGTGTAGAGAAAAGATTACGACTTACAGGTCTACTGAGAGTGTCATCTAGCTACACTGATACACGGTTTCATCAGTGTAATGTATCAATTCCCAAAGATCAATTTTTCTGTCAATTTTTCTGTCAAATGCGGCCTGAGCAGTACAGCTGTTATACTGCACTGCATGCGGTTTGGCATATTAATTCCTACATTTAAACAAGCATTGGAAATGGCTCTGCTTGCAAGCCTGCTCTCAGTGCTCTGTCAGTGACCTGGGAAAGCCTTGCCCTTTGCTTTACAATATCCTCAGTTAGTCAAACAGAGTTGCGAAGCAAAGGTCTCCGGTGCCGTCACACCCGCTAACTTTTATTTATTAGGGGGAGTGTGTTTGCACTGAATTAATCCTGTTTATGTAATTGAAATGGGTATAGGACAAAATGCAGTTTTCCAAGCTGCAGCTCAACGAAATTGAAATGGCGTGTCTTTTTGTGCAGAGTAGGAGGGGCTCTGAGGCAGGCAGTAATGTCAAAATCAGGTGTTTTATTAGAATAGTTCATCACTGTCTCTAGAGGATGAAAGCTATTGGACTTCTACACTGAATTGTTTTGTTGAGGTGCCTGCTCAACGTCTGTTCTGTGCTCAAATGCTCAAATGAAAAGAATGTGCTTGCATTATTTAAGTATGCAGAGAGAAGTTTATCTCTTCTTACATTCTTTTATATATATATATACATTCTTTTATATATATATAAATATATATATATATATACCTTTCTATGACTTGTAATAATAGCAGAACCATTTATATATATATATATATATATATATATATATATATATATATATATATATATATATATAGTGAACAAGTTTTTCATCATAGTGAAAAACCACTTAACCATGCAAAGAATTTATGATCATTTAGGTATTTAAATGATTCTTTAGGCTGTCACAATTCTACATATAACCAATAACTGCCTTAACTAAAGAACACTTGACAAACCTTTTTTTGGTTGGGTACATATATATAAAGCATATAAAGCTCCACAATATCAGAGACAATTAAGTAACAAAAGGCGTTATTATAATAGAAGGGAAAGAGTAGGTAGCCTAGTCTAGACTATGTTATCTTGCAAACACTCTACAATAAGCTGGACACCTAGATAAGTTTACAGGTGATTCAAAGCTTTTTATAGTATTAAGGGATAAATGAATTACGTAGAGAAATCTCTGTAGAACACCTGAATTCACCACTCATTTCTGTGAAATGAAATTTATTAGACATGCAGGTTCAGGTGTCTTTCCAGGCACTTAATAAAAGTAAATCACTGAAGTGATTTCAGCTTTCTCCTGAAAAGCTGAACAAGTTCTTTTCCCTGTTCTGTCTAGAAATCAGTCTAATATACCTTTATAACAGTATCAGTTAGAGCTTTCCTCATTACTGAATTGATCAAAGTTTACGAACATAAGCTGTTAAGCTTTAACCATCTTTGGAATTATGAACTGAACTCAGTTCCAACCAACTGCCAATTAAATAAATGAAATAATTAAGATATTTTTCAGTGAAATTTCTATTACATACTAACTCTATGTTCCCAAAGTGTTAGTTTACATATAAGCATTTGGTTTCTTACCTTCACAGAGACCGCAGCAGAGCGATGGCGCAATCCATACCATTGTGGTGAAATTCTTTTGAGTGATATTTTGTTTCTCCTGCTCTGGTCAATCTGACTCGCATTACACATGGAGGATGAGTGCTGAATGCTCTGCGATGACACAGAGAATGAGGAGAGATCCGCAACGGCAATGAGGAGGGAGCGTGCAGAGAGAGAGAGAGAGAGAGAGAGAGAGAGAGAGAGAGAGAGAGAGACGCAGCAGCTCTGTTGCTCATGCTCTCAGCCTGTTCGCTCGTCTGCTGTAATGTGATTAGTGCAGCACGTGGAGGAAGTGATGCAGTGTTTTCATTCTCTTCATTCTTTTCTTCTTTTAAGCTTAAATTCAACTAATTAACAAACTCCAGGACAGTATAAATCTTCCAAAACAATACTTAAGTAAGAAAGTACAGTAACACAGGTACTGATTACTTATATGGACCATTCTACTGAATTAGTTTAAACTGAGATCCCACTAAAATAAAAATAAATAAATTAAAAACAATTAACTGTTCAGATCGTAGATATTTATAAAGATTGTGTTATGATCTTTTTAACCCAAGGCATTAATTGAAATAGTAATAAGCTAAGTATAATGAAAATCATTTATAGGGTACTTTCTATTGGGAGGTCTGTCCCAAAACCCCTAAATTTACACTTGGGAAAATAAAACTTATGTTTTTTGCAATTTTTTCAATGATGTTTCTAATCTTAGAAATCTTTTAGATTTCTTTTAAGGTGAAGTAGAAAGATTTAGGGTGAAGCTTTTTTTCAGTGGTCCTTTTAGATGAAACAAACACCTAACAGACTCTCAGTAACGTCAAAAACATATGAGGGTAAGGATTAGGTTTTGGGTTGAGGTTAAGGTTAGGGTCAGGATTAAGGCCAGGTTGACGGTTAGGATTAGGTTTTGGGTTAGGATTAGAGCCAGGATGAGGGTTACTTTTTGGGTAAGGTTGGTAAGGTTAAGTTTTGGGTAATGGAAGTAACATAATAACACATCTACTTAATGTAAGTAATGTATCAACAGAGCATCTACAAGATATTTACCTCAATGTATTCAGATGCTGCACTACTGCTACTTCACTGATATGTTGTTGTATATGTATATATACAAAATACAGCAGAGAACGCAAAAAGGAGAGGAGAGCAAAGAGTTTGTCGCTACACTCCCAAAGCTAACTTTGTTTTTTTAGCAGAGTGCTGCACAGGCTCAGAATGATATTAGTATAGCTTGCTCTAGTGTTGTCGTTACACATTACTTTACTTCTACTTTACTCTGTATACAATTATATCATTATATTGGCATTATATTTTGCTTGTTTCAAGCATTATTTCTTAAATGAAGTTATAAAAAAGTCTAGAAATAAGTTCAATAAATATATAATAACCCTATCACAATCTCAAAAGGAGATATTAGATATATCGACTAGATTTAAGATAATTTCACTTGCCAAGATATAGTTTTTTGCAACGTAGATGGTTGTGCCACTCAGGAGTCTCAGTTAATTTAAAAAAATAAAAAATTCCTTTCTAGAAACTCTCTCTCTCTCTCTCTCTCTCTCTCTCTCTCTCTCTCTCATTAAACTTGTACTAACAAATGACTTTTATATAAAAACAGATCCAACTTTCTTTGAATAGCCCCCAGTAGATACTCTAAAGATGTTAAAGTTATTAACCGGCTATCTGGTGAAACTCAGTTGATTCTCAGCAGTGTTAGGGTTGAGGTTAGGATTGGCACCAAGGTTAGGTTTAAGACTAGGGTGAGGGTTAGATTTAGGTTTTGGGTCGAGGTTAAAGTTAAGGTTAGGGTTTTGGCCAGTGTTGGCATGCCATTCACCGGCCAGTCCACATAGTCATATATGGAAAGTAAGCCGCAAAAAACAGCCTATTTTGAATTCATGATTTCAAAAACCAACATACTGACATATGTACGCCTGTTCAGCCTTAAATTAAACTGGGATAAAGAGAGGTTGGAAAATGGTCAGGTAAAAATGGACAATGACTGTCTTACATAAAATAACACAAATCTTATAAGTGGACTTCAGAGGGAAAAACAAGATACAAAACACATGCAGCATATGTTAACAATAACGTTTAAATATGTTTATGAAATAATAATAATAATAATAAGTAAAATCTTTGTGCTTCACAACTAAATGTCCCAATATCTGTGGCAGGGGGCAGAAGCACTTCTGTTAAATGCTCCGCAAGGGCATATTTCCCCACATGTTTGTGGTAATATTATTTGAGAAATGTTACCTGGGGTGTATTCCAGAAAGCGGGTTTAACAAACTCTAAACCTAAGCCGGAACTCAGAGTTGACTTATCTCGCCGTGTCATAGTCAAAGTTTCCGGTTCCACAACAGCTGGTAAGAGTTAGTTTAGTCAATTCTGAGTAGATTAAACCCAGCTGAAGCGCGTTCACTGTTACCCATAAATAGGCATTCGCAATGGAGTGGCGAAAAACCGATTCACTATGGACACCAATGATGGAAAAAAGAAAACATATTATTTCACACCCATAGAGCAGGAAATATTACTGACTGCATATGCAGAAAATGAATACATATTTAAATGTAAAAGTAATACTTCAGCAGCCGCAAAAGAAAGGGAGCTGGCATGGCAAAAAATTGCAGACCAAGTTAATGCATGAGTCATTATTAAATAATATTTAAATAAAACTATGAAACATAATTTAACATTTAGCAAATCAATATGGCAAAAATTATTTTAATGTCAGTTGTAATAGTTGTCTTGATTTTTACATTTTTTTTCTTTTTTCATTTACATAATATAGGTGTAATCCAACTGGGGTTAAACGCACATGGCAGCAAATAAAGATGAAATATAAAAACATAGTGCAATGTGGTATGACTTATGCCTAATGAGGGACCATCAACATCCATAGCTCAGCTTGGAACAGTATGATTAGTTTAATGTCTCACCAAATAGCTGAAATATTTAGAATGCAAAGATATTTATTTGACCATATTATGGTATTTTTCTCTCTTCCTTTCTGCTTCCAAGCTGCCTGTAAAGGATTTATACAAGATACACCACCAGAAGCAAATTGAGCAATGTGATCTTAAGATGGAGCACATAAAACTCCAAATAAAACAGACAAGCCTTGAAAAGGTGGGGGTAGTTGCTGTGAGTGTATAGATGTGAATGTTATTACTAAAGAATAAGGACAAGGAAATTAACTTGCCATTTTTTTTTTATTTTCAGGAAATAAAGAAATCATGAACATAAACTGTAGTCTTATTTATATAATTAAAGGGCAGATGGGTGAGAGAAATGATGAGGAAATAATTATTGGGAGAAATAGTGATTGCATATTGCATCTTGGACAATTCTACCATTTCTGTGGTCAGGTAGATTAAGACGTGGTTCCTCCTCAATATCTGCTTGGGGTATAGCAGGATGTTGCTCTCCTCTAATGGTGGCAATGTTGTGCAGTACCACACATGCCACTATAACGTCACATGCCATCTCTGGAGTGACCCTGAGCCCCCGCAGGCTCTGAAACCTGGCCTTGAGAATCCCGACTGTCATTTCAACCCTTGCTCTTGTTTTGGATAGGGGCAGGTTGTAGCGTGACTGTGGTCCAGGCTCAGGGTCAGGGTATGGTGTCATCACATATGGCATGCAGGGATACCCTCTGTCTGCAAGGAGGAGACCATCGTATTGTCCTGTAAGCACACAGGGGAAGCAGTGATTTAAACTGAAACAGTGTAACCATACACTGAATGTGAACCACAGCAAAATTTTCCCAGGCTTCCCTTGTTCAAATTTATTGTATAGTGCAGACTCACAAAAAATCCATGCATCATGCGCAGAGCCAGGCCATTTGGCTTCAAGATTTGTAATTATGTTTGTAGCATCACATATGAAAGATAACAGTAAGTTTATGTAACAAATGAAATGCTACACTTTTATTTAAATAAATTTAACAAAGTACATTTAAGATGGTCACTACCTGTATATAAATGCTGTGGAAGGATTTTCTGTTTACATAATCCCCTTCATTTTCTGCAGGTGCTTTAATTGGGATGTGGATTCCATCCATGCAGCCAATGACTCTTGGAAATCCTGAAATATTAAAAGATGCAGAGCTATTTCCGCTTCCCAATTATTTTATCCTTTTGTAATCTTTGTTAATAAATACAAACCTGCAATTCTGTGGAATTCCTCTTTGATGTTCATTATAGGCTTATGCCCAGGGAACACCACAAAACTGTACATCAAACGTTTTAATGCTAGGCATACTTTTCGGACGGACCGACACACAGTAGCCTTCCCTATGTGTTCAGCGTCTCCGACATTGTATAAAAAAGAACCATTTGCAAAAAAACGGAGAGCAATGCATAAAGTTCGCTAAGAAGTAAGTGCGGATCCACGATGTGTGATATTGGAAATGTATGGCTTTAGAATATTATTTAAGTATCTAATTGACTGTGAGGAAAAACGGTAACGTTCGCGGAGATACTCGTCGGGTAATGAAAGTATGTCCAATCTGGGTGTAATGACTCGTTCCTGACGAAGAGCTCGACGAATAATTTTTCGCTTCAATATCAACCGGATCCTCGAGGAAAGGACACGCCATGTTTGCTAGAGAAAAGTGCGTGTGAACCCGGGTTATGTTCAAGTTAACGTGCCAGCGAGCAGGTTTGCTTCAGAGTGTAAGTTGCTATAGTAACTGACACACGTTTTCTTTAATCTCGGTTTCTGGAACGGAAAATCTCGAGTTTTCGTGAATTCTGAGTTATTTACCCGGTTTTATCGCTTAACCCGCTTTCTGAAATACACCCCCGGTCTAAAATTGATCAGTTAAACGGCTACAGTATATTGGACTAAATGTACGTAGACGATACAAATTTTCTGCAGTGAAATGTTTCTCTTTGTTTCTGCCTTCACCTTCCCTCTGACCTGTGTGCCTTTAGTTAGCGCTCCCTTTTTGCCTCATAAATAATGCACAGTAATTAATAGCCCATTAATCATGAATACTATTAATACTCACAGACATATGGGTCGCTGACGTGTTAACACGTGGTAGGAAAATAATAATGAGATTCTATAATATTAGGAATATGCAAGAAAATAATGTAAATATGAGATATGGCGCATCGGACCAAGACCAACAGCATCTAA